CCGGTTGTCTTGGATTGCATGTGGTCCGCGAAGAAGCTTTTCTGATTCGTCCAGAAATCCAACTTGAGCATTGAAGTCTCCGGCGACTAGTACAACGTCCGTTGGTCGAGCACTTGGGAATAGTTGAGAAAAGTTTACGTAGAATCCTTGATTTCCAGAATCTGTCTCAGGTACAAAATCAGGATAATAGTAAAACGTTTTGCACAGAGAATTTGTGTCTTATTCACTGATATCTCTAAAGCCGCTAAACAGAGACAGATAGGTTTTTCGTGACACAAAATGGAGATAAAACGGAAATGTCAGTCGGTCAATATTACCGGTGGGCATGTCGATGAAAGGCTGCCGGACAGCCAGGACAACGATTCGCTGATCCAGATCTGCCATCGAGCTGCTGATTTTCCGACCCATCTCCCGGTTGTACAATAAAGTATTCGTTTGAGGAGTGTTTTGAATTGGTCATTTGGTCCGTCGGCTGCCCATAGGGCGGAGGCATCGCACTGTCTCGAGCTGGATCGAGATTAGTCAGGCTGGAGAACGAATTACTACGTCGCCGCAAATTAGGCTTAGATGTTTCAGAACGGGAATGACCATTGAGACCGGAAGAACTAGGCACTCCCATGTCGTCTCGTCCTCGAAAGCGGGCGGGGATGGGCACGTTGACAATCCGTCCCATGCCACTGGCAGTCGTGGTACGTTCTGGTGTTTGCGCAGAGACAAAGGGAAGCAATAGAACACATCATTGTTCAACAAGTGTAAACATAAGATGCTCTTTTGGCGAATAGTAAACAGTTATGATCCAACCGCGCATAAAGTCATTTGACAATAAACACACACACACACACACACCAATGAAGCATACAAATTATCAGCGGTTTGAATAACAACACAGGACAGAGTAACCAATTCCGTGCATGCATTTATCTGTATCACACAACAAAAGACTATGATGAAAACCGTATGTCATGCCCAGCACATATATTTGATCGGAAAACCGAATAAAACGCGGAAAGCACAACTGACAAGAGCACGACTATATGAATCGTGAGAGAGCACAGAAAAAAGACACCGCATATCTAAGCTGAATATCTACAAAAACAGAAAGAATTTAGATACTGGAATCGCAAAACGAAAGTGTGCGCGTAGAATGAACGCAATGTTAAGCTGGCTATCTCGCTCAATGAAGATCTGCGGGAGCACATTGGATTCGAAATGCGTTTTGTTGTTTGAACACTTGACCACGGCGGCGGGTAGACCGAGAATTTGCGAAGCGGTCAACTTGCATTTGGTTGACAGGTAGTGGGAGAACGTCTACCTCCTGGAAGCAACAAGCAGTTGACAAAAAAGTACGGCACTCTGATGTTTTGTGCGAACACAGACTGTCCCGAGCACGACTGATTTTTCCACTACCCAACCTAGCTGACGGCCTGTGAAAGCCTCAGTATGGCCGGGAATGAGTATCCGAGGTTGTGGCTGGTCATCTTTGCACCATTACACCTCGCAAAGTGCTTGTATACAACCCAGGGTCTCAAATAGCCTCTTGTGAAGAAGCTCTACTCCCAATAGCGGCGTTTTTCCACTAGAAGTCACAGGACGAAAAGTAAACATCCGGGGGCCATAACTTGGTGCTGATGAGAAGTACTGATTCCAACCCAGTCAAGAAGAGATGTACGAACCAGACACAAATCTTTCTGATTGTGATGAAAGTCACCGGCTCGATTGGGCATCGAGATGATTTGGGCACCGTGAAAGTTTGATTCTGATCAAAGGGTGATCTGATGAACTGGACAGAATCGCCCAAAATTGATTTCGATGTTCACACACCGACCCGGTGACTTGCGGATCAAGCTTTGGCTCTGATTGTGAAGTTCCCCAGAAAAATCAACCACTTTGACCTTGAAAACCTGGCAGCGTCCGATCGCGCGCAAAAGATGGATTCACTATCGTTGTTGTAAATATTACTGCGCCGTAGTTTATTTGGCACAGTCTGGACTCAGACGCATGTGACATACACCAATCTGAACTGATTTCGTTGACTTCAGATGCACTAGCATGAGAATCTTACGTAAATTTAAGTATTTATGGTTCCTAGAAGGTGGAAACTCAACGTGTGGTGAAGATGCAGCGACGCCAGCCTCAAAAAGAGAAGAGGATGTGGAGCTGACATGGCTCCTGCGAGGAATGCAATTCCAACTGCATAACTGTCCACGTACAGATGCACTTTAATGGTGAGTAAAATCTACGCACAACACAGAAAGCAAAAAGAAGTTATCTGTATGACACTAGTAACGTGGGTGGGGGGAGACAATTAGCACACGATTGCCTTCTGATCACACCGTCATTAAAAAATTGTTTCACGTCTTATTGCAAAACCAGAGGGCATTCGGCATGGGTCAATGCTCAAAGAATTGTATCGTCATACTTCACATCAGGTTAAGGCCTATGGCCAACTTTCGCTACCCTTTACCATCTTCAGTGGAGTGCGACAAGGCTACCATGTATCCCCATTCCTGCTCAAACCTGGCACAGAGAATGTTCAACATAATCCTTTGTCTGGTCTAGCGAACGGTAGAGTCGAACTCTCTCCAGGGCACAGAAACAACTCGACGATCGACGTATCCAGATGCGGTATGATCTTTGCATCATCCAAGTGTACAGCGTTTGTACAAGATTGGCGGAAGCCTGAGACTACATATATATATATATAAATATATATATATAGAGAGAGAGAGAGTTAGAACACAGCAGTGCTCATAAAATGCTTGCCTGACTGTTATTTTTCTTAAAGCCCATTCAAACAACGAACAAATCTGATCTGTTCTATGCGATCAAGCACAGGGAAGAATGACGAAAAGCGGAATCGAACACGCTAATGAAGGAAAACAAATGCGCTTAAATACCTGTCTCAATCTCCCCGTTGTTAATTGATGAGGAAGCCACAGTTGGAGCAGATGCGTTGGTCAAGGCGAACAGTTCACGCTGAAGTTTCAGAATGTTCACTGTAGGTACAAGAAAGTATGAATGTCGGTAAACCGAGGTGTGTACGATATAAATTTGAAAAATGAACGAAATATAAGCGTAACTGTCATGCGAAATTATTCGTTATCGTAACCTCGATCTCAGACTGGAAGAGATGTCACACACACAGCAGCAACAACAGCATCAGTTTACTCACTGTCGCATTTGAAAAGGTACACCAGCCATCAGATAAGGAATTTCGTAAAGAGAGTAAACAAAGCGTGAACGGAAATGCTAAGAAGCAAGGAGAAGGAAAATGAAAAACGGTTTGATTACCTGTTGAGTGGTCAAGTGGGCAGTATGCATGCGTTCTACTTGTAAGGCCTGCGGATGAGATCCAACCAGGGTGAAATAGCTAGATACTGAGTGAATGCTTCCTAACTGTTCAGTTTACGCCCCACGCTTTAGTCTGTACACGATGGAATTAGTTATGTGCTCGAAGTCAGACCTACACCGCTCTCATGTGTGAAACATTCCATTGTGAAAACGGATTAATCCTGAAGCATTAGATAAGAAAGGCAAATCAAGCCTCTCTTTCGTGCTTAACCGAAACTCAAATCGCTTTTCCACCGGTCACATTTTAAATAAACTTTCCAACAAACTGTACGTTTCCGGTTTAAACCTGGTGTTTGTGCCAAACGTAAAAGACGATTGCATCCTGACTTTCACAAACACAGGTTTCCACTGAATAAGCTGACAATCGTCATGTATTTGAATGTAACATTTCACGACGAAGATAACTTTTAAACAGACACCCACAGTGGTTAGCCCACTTGATGGAATTTTACTTTCTCTCCCGTATTCCTCTTTCCTTCATGACCACAATAAACTTTCATTCTTCTGATTAACGGTACTTGAGCGGTGGTGGCCCGGTGGAGGCGTCAACAAATCATCACCCGGGAAGAGATGTGTTCAAATCCCACCACCNCCGCCTAATGTTCCCCATCGTGTATCGTTTGACAGCCCTTTGATTGGCCGCTTCCCCCTTCCTGAAAACTGTATCGTCGCGGATTCAACAAAAGGAAAAATATCAATGGGCAAACAGAAGTTCATTATTATCATTCTCATAATTAACCGAGATTTCGATCTTTTGAGATCAGATCCCAGCCCAGGTAGATTTCCTGATACTCAAATGAAGAATTCATCCCATTATCCGATAATGTTTAGTTTAATCGTACAGTCAGATTATTTTACTGGTGTGCGGTAACCGTAACGTCAGACATTGAAAATGGAACAGTACCTTCGTTCTGGGTGGGTAGACAAACAGTGACTTCGACACAAAACAGAAAACGATCAAGCATAAGCCGTATTTGACACAGACGACATATGGATTCGTCAGTTGGAAATGGTATCTGTACGTCCGGATCGGGCCGCATGGTTGCTAATGCTTGATTGTAGTTCTCCGGGGGGGAGATTGGCGATGGACCAGCGGATGAATTCCCCGTTGCAACTATGCCATCCAAATGTGGACCAAGATCGACCAGAATCAGAACACTGCCCGGATGATCAGCATTATAGTATTTGAGGAAATCGTATACAGCGTTCGGGAATAGATCGATCAATTGGCTGGCCAAACGGTCCGGGCTGTCCGAGCCAGAGTACAAAACGGTACAGATTTCATTCAGAGGGACGCCAGCCGTACCACTGATAGGTTGACGGAGAGCCAAACCGCTAGGCGATGCACGCCAATTAGTGAGTACGGTTAGATGTTTGAAGCCGTCGGGTAAAGTTCCATTCGCTGTTACAGACTGGTTGGTGAAGAGCTGTTTGCATATGAATGAAAAGGTGAAATGTATTTTATTCGAAAAGATGGGCTCAGTCCGTGCTACGGGGATATGACGATACGTCAAAGAATAATACACAATACAACAAAAGGACATGAAGTTAGGCATACTTCACTAGTGAAGCCATTTTTCTCTAGAACATGAATATAGCTATTCAAGCAAAAAATTCAGTCTATGAAAAGGATCTACCAGATAAACTCGACAATAGATTGGCATATTTA